TTGTTGCTGTTGTTGTTGTTGCTGCTGTTGTTGCTGCTGTTGTTGTTGTTGCTGAGGAACAGGGGGCAACCCACGGCCTCTCCCACTTTGATGCTGAGCGGAGGGGGCCCTGGATCCCTTGCCAAGGCCATCGTGCCTATGTTTGATCCTCCTCTCCTCCTCTACCTGAGGATTCCGGTCACGCACTTGACCCCGACTAACTACTCTTGAGGATGGGGTGACGCTGGTCCCTGCAGATGGGGCCCCACCGGTCAACCCTCGTCCCCTCCCGGCCGCGAGGGCTTGTCTCTGCCTTAGGAACCCTAGATCAATGCGGGGCGTGCTGGACATGGCTACCTCGAGGGCGTCCTTGGCGTTTAGAGATTGTAGGATTTGAAAGTCCGGCCACGAATCTCTCCCCGAAGTTCCCACCTCGGCGTGCGAAGGAACCAAGTCCTCTCTGACCCCGAGCTCTTCAACTCTACCCTCTACTTCTGCCTCCGAGGCTCGGTCAGGGTCTTCTTCCAAGTTCTCCTCGATTTCTTGCCCCACCGCCTGATCGAAGAGTTCAGACCATCGCGAAGGGTCGAAAGGCTGGGGAAGCTGTGAAAACTTCTTATATCCGGGAGTATAATTGAGGAGGATGTGGGCAGCCCGGCCGAGCCAGTCGTCACCAGTGAATCTCCAAACGGTGATTAGGTCCGCAAAGTTCACCAACGACCGGGGTGGAGGAGCTGTTTCCCGAGGGGAGATGTCTGCACAAAGCAAAAAGAGGGGAGTGGGTCATGAGCACGTAGAAAAACTCAGAAATAAAATAATAGACCCGAAGGAACCGACGTACTTGTCGTTCTCCATTCCAAAGGATATAACAAGCCGTCATACTCGGGACCGACACCTCTCTGCCAAGATCCCTTGAAGATGAGTAGGTCATCCTTGTACCCCTTGTCCAAGTCAGGAAGGTGAGTTACGAGGTACATGGATGGGTCCCTGGCTTTGAGGTAGAAGTGTTGTTGAGGCGTAACTCTCAAGAGGGAATAACAAAAAAGGATATCGTTCAGCCCGACGTTTACCCCAAGACGCCTATTGAGCTCTAGGACCCCCATAATTATCCTACAGACATTAAGGCAACACTGCCCGGGAAAGAGGCAAAAATGAGAGAGGAACTGGAGAAGCAGAGGGGGCAAAGGGAACCTAATCCCACTTTCTATGATGGCTTTGATAAAAAAAGGCATTGCGTCCTCGGTACCGAGGATACGAGGGTGCACAGCCGGGTCATAATCCTTTATGTCTACATTTGGGGGAACGCTGTACTTAACCCTAAATCTATTAATTTGTTCACCATCTTTTACTTTATACTTCCCTGGCCTCGAAGTATTAGCCTGAGGGTTCTCGGAGGCAGAGCGACGACGAGGCATCTTCAAAAAGTGATAAAAAATAGAGGGGGTCTTTTCCACGAAGATCCCCAAGAAGGCTTCCCGGGGATTGGTCGCTGAAGGGCAACCAGAAAACACCTCCGGTGATCGAAAAACCAAAAGAGACAGAAGGGCAAAGAAAGGGAAGATACTGGGACTCACCAGAGTATAAAAAGAGGTTTTTTTTGGAAAACTTGAATCGACTCCTTCCAAGAATGTTCAGAAGCAAGGATGGGTCTGCTGGCTTTAAAGCTTCAGTGAAAAGGTTGGGCAGTTGACAAACGGAAGGAAAGAGGTCTCCGGCGAAGATTCAGGCAAGGGCTCTCTGTGAAGAAAAGTTCAGAACGATGAAATGAGGAAAGAAGAGAGAAAGCCCCTTTATATATAGCACCTATCCCATCATTGGGCGCGAAGCACGAAACGACACATTTAATGCGCACGACATCCTAAGCAAGGAAAACGACTAGGGGCAATGATGAAGCAGTTGGGGTTGTTGCAAAACCCTTCGTCTCCTTACAACGCGTGTCCTCGATGTTAGAAGATCGAAGGCTGGGGGCCAGTTGATGGGACATTTTCGAAATACTCCAAGATGAAGACACGTGTCCTCGGTATTACTGATCCCTGTTATCGAGATCACGTACCCATCGGGTCACAAGTCCCCTCTACCCCGAGGTACTTATCATGGGATCGAGTGGCATCCAGTACGCTTTTATGTACCGACACATACCCTCGGTCTGATATGGTACATCGGTCGCTAGGCCTCCCCCTCTCGGATTCAAGATGTACCTATTCCTCGGTTTCCGAGATATACCTCTTCCTCGGCTCTGAGATGTACCTCTTTCTCGGTTCTGAGATGTACCTCTTTCTCGGTACCGAGATGTACCCCTCTCATTCAGGATGAAGTTCTCTGCTCCAGCAGAGGCTATTGATGCATTGGTCACTAGCCTAAGCTAGGCTAGGTTAGCTATCATGACCTCGTCTTACACAATCGGTGTCAGAAGGCACAGGAAGGCAGGGGCCACAGCCAATGAGGAATGGACGTGTGGCATATTGTGTCACATCAGAGACAGAAAGACCGCATGACCTTACTGACACGCGACTTGAGAAAACAAGCATTTAATTACACCATTCCCTTGATGAGACTGCATTCAATGCGGTAAGGCTCAGAAGTGAAAGACAATAAATGTCTCTAAGGCTAGGCATTTATTGCGTCCTCCCCGAGAGGAGCTCATTGAACAGTTGGCAGCCCGATGACACAGTATTGATTGCTCGGGATCCCGAGTAGTTAAAAGAGAAGACATTCCTCATCAGAATCAGTGCGCACACTGCCTGTACCTAATGATCACCTATTGACTACACTGACAGCAATCATGAGTTTTTGAGGTATAAATACTCCTCGCAAAAGGCAAGACGGTATGCAAAAAAAAAACCTTTGTTATAATACATACTCAGTGTTTTTCTTCTTCCTCTCTCTCAAAGACTGACTTGATCGTCGGAGGGGATACGCCGGAAAACACTCCGGCGCCCTTCTAACTTGTTCTTCTTTGTTCCAGGAACCTTCCTTCAGCCTTAATGGATCGCTCCTTTGATCCACGAGGGTCTCCCATTACCGTTCCAGGTTACCACAGGATCTCACAGGCTGTTCCAAGCAGCGGGGTTGACCATTCGACTGATTCGCTCAAGTTCACCAAGGAAGAGATCTGTTCTCGTTTTTATATTGTGTAAGATCCAGCACGCACAGAAGCATAGTCTAAAGGACACACTATTGGATTCCAAAACAACTTTTTGGACTTTAAGAATTAACCATCAGGAAAAGTTAAAGCTGAAGCTGGGCAAATACATACCTACAATTTACTATTTGGGGATATAATTAAAAACCTGGGTAATCATTATGTTACGAATCACATCGGTTAAAAATATAATTAAAATGTGTGAATATGAATTTTTGGGCAACTTTCTCTTACAAGCTGGATGGGCAAGTTGGGCAAATTTTATCTATGAGTTCATATCAATCGGTATCAGAGTTAGCCACGACGTCGAGTATGACATTGAACGTAGTGTGAACTATGACTCTCTGTGGTCTAGTCATGCAAAAAACGTTGGATTAAGATGACTTAATATGATGTATGAACATTATGCTATTTTATTGAAGACTGAATAGATGAGTGGAACCATCAAATAGAAAGGGTTACAGTTGGGTTCGTATCGTTAGTGAATGTTCATTACGAAAGCTTTACGATCCCACATCGATTAAAAATAAGTCTAGATGTGTGAACCAATTTTCAGAGGCATGAGTTCATAACACAGTATCGTTGATAAAGGAGTGCCCCAGACTCCATTCTTATTCACTTGAACACAGAACAGTAAGAGAGAGAGAGACCTCGGGGCCACCAAGTTCATGAACCCTAATGGCTTTGACCATTGTAGCTGCTGTTGCTGACGCTGATGTAGAGAGTGTTGGGACAATTATGCTAGCTTGGTTGGTTGCACCCTTGATAGTGTTGCGACAATTATGCTCTTCTTGTATTTATACTTCTTGTTGTTGATCAGTTTTTGTAATGGAAGAAATAGTGAGCTGGGTGGTGAAGGCCCGAGACAAACAACATTTGTAGAAGACAGTAGTGACGATGGCCATGATGTAATGTTCCCCTAGATTGGAGGAACATTTGACAATATCAAGATCGGATTCATCATATTAGAAATGAAATTTTAATATTAGATGGAATCTATACCTAATATGTGTTAAAATAGTTATTTAAAATTATACCAACTTCATTTCTAATACTTGTGGATTATAACTCAATCAGAATATTCTAATGTTAATCTACTCTATTTCAAGATCATTTTGCGTTAAAATTTACGTGGCTAACATGTAACAATTTGCCGAGGGACAAAATATATATAAGTTTAAAACTCACAATCTCTAGTTGTCACTTGCCGCACACAAAAAAATTCAACAAATGAATAGAAAAAGTTCAATTGAGGGGGCCTCAAGTTAGACAGTGGCAAAGTGCGATACGTTTTCTTCTCTATTTCTTATTGTATTTGCCTCTTTCTCCTCTGCAGACTCCTTTTTTAACAACTACAATCAAATCTCCTCCTTTCAAGGATTATATCAAATTTCCTGTCCCAATAATGACTACATGTCCTAATACTTAAGGGAGGGGTCCAGTGGTTTTATGTCCCAATAACATTATATCCAATTAGACCTATATTTTGATAAGTTTAATTCATTTTCACACTCTTGTCCAAATATGCTCTTTGTGACCAATAAAAATGGTTACCACAAACTTAGACATCATATAGAAAAAAAAAATTAATGTCATGTCCCAATAACAATGGAATATTATATCTTGATAGTGAAGCCATTTGACTACAAGATTTTCTCTCTCTTATTCCAACCCACATGCTCCAAAGCAGTCCAAGAAATATGTAAATTTTAAAAATAATGCAAATGGGCCATACTGATGCTGATCTCTAGCAGTCAAGTTGGACTGTTAGCTCTCTCTCTCTCTCTCTCTCTCTCTCTCTCTCTCTCTTCTCATTTGTGGCCGGCTAAGCAGTTAATCACTCTGTGTCCTCTGGGTGTGTGTGAGCTTGGAGAAAGCCATGGCAGTGGGAATAGTATCAACGAGCACTGAAGGTGGGCAGTACAATGGCAGGATGACATCGTTTGTTGTGTTATCTTGCATGATGGCTGCCATGGGAGGAGTCATCTTCGGCTATGATATTGGAATTTCAGGTCTTTCTAGCCGCAGCCCTTCATTTTGTTTTTCTCTTTTTTCAATGATTTCATGGAAGAATAATCGTGTCACTTACAATTATTTTGGCTTGTTTTGTATGGGATCGTGTTGTGTCGAGTCGTGTATGTCGTTTATAATTAAATTCATGTTAACCCACTTATTAAGTGGGTTTGACAAATATATCTGTTTATCACATCCATTAATTCTGTGTTGACTTTGTGTTGCGTTCACTGATGGTGTCTAGAATTAATTTTTGTAGAACAATATCTAATGAATTTAGGCAAACGTTTAGAACTATTTTGTTGATTTTTGCAAGTAAATGTGAAGGTGGAGTGACATCCATGGAGTCATTTCTGAAGAAATTTTTCCCAAAGGTGTATACTAAGATGAAAGAAGACACCCAACTCAGCAACTACTGCAAATTTGACTCCCAAACCCACTAAAGATAAACTCACATCCATTAATTCTGTGTTGACTTTGTGTTGCGTTCACCGATGGTGTCTAGAATTAATTTTTGTAGAACAATATCTAATGAATTTAGGCAAACGTTTAGAACTATTTTGTTGATTTTTGCAATTAAATGTGAAGGTGGAGTGACATCCATGGAGCCATTTCTGAAGAAATTTTTCCCAAAGGTGTATACTAAGATGAAAGAAGACACCCAACTCAGCAACTACTGCAAATTTGACAGCCAACTGTTGACATCATTCACATCTTCACTCTATATTGCTGGTCTTGTTGCTTCATTCTTTGCCTCATGGACTACAAGTGCCTTTGGGCGTAAGCCATCAATCCTTGCCGGAGGAGCTGCATTCCTCGCCGGTGCGGCACTTGGAGGTGCAGCTGTTAATGTCTACATGCTGATATTTGGCCGTGTCTTACTAGGAGTTGGGGTTGGCTTTGCAAATCAGGTAAAATATTCTTCTTATTAGACTTCAACACCCCAAACTTGAAGTGTACAAAATCTTCCGATTTGCACTAGATCAATATGGCAAGTGTTAACCCCAGGGTGGTCTAGTGGTTGGGCTTGGACTTTGTTAACCTAGAGGTCTTAAGTTCAATCTCTTCTCCACCCTGAAGGCTAGTCACCATTGTCTGTTATGAGATATATTCTAACCTAGTTCAAGTTACGGTGACCGGTTTTAGGGAGTAATCGGCGCAAGTTTATCCATCTTATAACAAAAAAAAAAAAAAAAACATGGCAAGTTATGTTCAACGAAAAAAAAAAAATGTGGCCAAGTGGTGTGCGACTCTGGAGAATGACTCCCACTATGTTAGTTACCACCATCCCAGGTTACCTTCCTATCGGATCGGGATTGTCTAGACAATGACTTGGGACAGTGACAACTAGCGTGGTGAAATTACACATCACCTTAGTCGAAAAAGATCCCAAACGACGACACTTGGGTCTAAATAGTGAATTGTATAATCTTATATTGATTGGTAAAGTGTATGGAGTACTTGGTAAGTTGGATGACCTTCATTATACAAGATTACAATGCAAGTCCAGGGTCAACCCATCGTCCTAATTGTATTAAAAGCCTAATCATCGTAGTGGCAATGTTCATCATTGAGAAAGAAGAATGTTATTTGAATCGTGAGTCAATTTAGTATGTGGTATAATAGATACGTGCCTAACGAGATCAGATTGCTATAATAATTTCTTGCTTGACAATTCAATCCACTCTTGCCTTGTTCTGCAGGCTGTTCCATTGTACCTCTCAGAAATGGCGCCACCAAATTTCAGAGGAGCAATCAACAATGGCTTCCAACTTAGCGTTGGAATTGGGATTTTAATAGCCAACCTCATCAACTATGGCACCGAGAAGATAGAAGGCGGTTGGGGATGGCGGATTTCCCTCTCTCTAGCTGCAGTTCCAGCCGCAATTCTCACTCTCGGCGCAATTTTCCTGCCCGAAACACCCAACAGCCTAATTCAGCGAAGAAACGATCATGACAAGGCCAAGCAGATGCTGCAACGAATACGAGGCACCGAAAATGTCCAAGCAGAACTGGATGATCTCATCAGAGCAAGTGAAATTTCAAAAACCATCAAACACCCTTTCAAGAAAATCTTACAAAGAAAGTATAGGCCTCAACTAGTAATGGCAATAGCAATACCATTCTTTCAACAAGTAACAGGAATCAATGTTATCGCCTTCTATGCTCCATTACTTTTCAGGACAATCGGGTTAGGAGAAAGTGCTTCACTCATGTCTGCAGTGGTGACAGGGGCTGTTGGTATAGGAACAACCTTCATATCAATGTTGATAGTCGACAAAGTCGGGAGAAGAGGATTGTTAACAGTAGGTGGAATTCAAATGCTTGTATCACAGATGATGGTGGGAGCAATATTGGCCGCTAAACTGGGTGATCATGGTGGTGTGAGTAGAGGGTATGCTTTTGGGGTTTTGATCTTGATTTGTGCTTATGTTGCTGGTTTTGGTCTGTCATGGGGGCCATTGGGATGGTTGATTCCAAGTGAAATTTTTCCACTGGAAATAAGATCAGCAGGACAGAGTATCACAGTGGGGGTGAATTTTCTCTTCACTTTCATTGTTGCTCAGACTTTTTTGGCAATGCTCTGTCACTTCAAGTCTGGGATTTTCTTCTTCTTTGCAGGGTGGGTGGTGGTGATGACAGGGTTTATCTATATGTTGCTTCCAGAGACTAAGAATGTGCCAATTGAACAGATGGAGAGAGTCTGGAGGGAACACTGGTTTTGGAAGAGAGTTGTTGGGGAAAAGCATGGGGTATTTGAAGTGAATGCTAAAGTTGGAGGAGAATGAGATTGTGTAGAAATGGAGTTCTGGCTCCATCATTGGACTGTGAAATGGATAATACCAAAAATACCCTGTTTGTGCACCCTAATATAAAAAATACCCTGATTCAAGACATCAATTTGCTGTATGTAGTCCATGAAATTGGAGGAATAGATGTCATAATCGGAGGTTGGAACAAATAAACATTTGGTTGTGAATTCTGATGTGACAAGCACATATCTGCCCAAACAAATCAATAGATTGTGTAGCACACTCCCATAATCCATCTTCTATCCAGAGAATTCCCTTCAACTATTCATTTGAAGGGAAATAATATCCAAAAGCATTTTTATTGTTTTCAATAATCCCGAGTTGTAGCAATGAAATAGTATTGTTTTGTCCCCAAGTGGCATATGATTGGTTACAACTATCTATGATATATTTTTGAATATTTATCCTTCTAAATTGAACATCATGGGTTTAAGTCTAAAAATTAAATTCTCCAAAATGGGGTAAAAGTGAGTATCACTTATTTGTTTCAGACCCTGATATAGATGCAAGGTTTATGTATTAACTGGTCTCAGTTTTGACGAACTCAAGTGGATAAGCTGGCGTGTACCAAGTACCAACAGAAACCATACAGTTTTACTCTTAGCATAAAAACAAGTGCATTCTCAAGTTGATACTAATATTTGCTATTAAGTTCATTCTTAAGTTGAAAATCTTTTGCAAATTGAAATTTAATTTTCGAATTAGGAAATCACACTAGGGTTTGAATGACAAGTCAAATCCCACTTCTTCCACTGCCACACGGAGGGGCTCTATTCTAGTGGGAATGAGGGAACATACTCATGGCTCTCTCCCCATAGCCCAAAAGGTATAGGGGAGAGCATACGAGGTAGTTATCTTAACAGGCTGAGAAGACAGTAGTTATTTCTTAAATCCAGGAGAGAACATCACGAAAGCAAAAGACTGTTCAAGTGTGCTTCTTGGCTGCCCTTTTTTTTTTTTTTTTTTTTCTGATTTTGGTTTTGGTTTTTTTTTTTTTGGGACTAATATTTTTGGTCTTTAAGTATGAAAGAAATATTTAATTTTGTCACTCAGACTTTGGATTGTCCGAAGTCTTTAACCAAACTGTCCATATTTGTCATCTCCCCACTCCAGATTTATGGAAATCGCGGCTGCAAGGCATTTGGTTCCAAACATGGTGCGATATCTTTGGTTTCCAAATTAACATACTTTTTTTTTATACACAAAATTACAAAACTTCATCTCTCATGTCGCTTACTTTTTGCCTCTGTTTTCTTGTTGTTTGTAGGTGGTAGTTTGTGTATTGGTCCAATATTCAGCCCCACATACTCCTAAAAGCATATTCGACATTGAAATTATGTCTCATCCTGACCAACTTGATGCTGATATTTAGCAGCCAAGTTGGAATGTTCTCTCTCTCTCTCTCTCAGTGTGTGCACTTGGGAGGGACTGAGTGAGGGAAGCCATGGCTGTGGGGTTGGCAGTAACAAGTGAAGGTGGGCAGTATAATGGCAGAGTAACATTGTTTGTTGTCTTATCTTGTATGGTTGCAGCCACCGGAGGAATTATCTTTAGCTACGATATTGGAATTTCAGGTTCTTTTTTACTCCGGAAAAATGGACCACCTATCATCACCGAGACTGTAATTTTATTTTTGATCTAATACATGTTCTCAGTATAATACCCATGTATATTGCTCCGGAATTTTGGAGGCCTTTTACTCTATATAGGGCAAATTTCGTTGGCTCTCTCTCTCACTCGCGCGCGCCCACAAAAAAATATAAAACTCACTCACTCACTCACTCACTCACTTCAACAGTACCAACACCAAGAAGAAAGGATTAATCTCAATGGCTTTTTCTTTCGCTTTTTTTTCCATTTAGGGGTAGATAAACAAACCAAATACTTGTTAATTGCTTTCTTGCATTGTTACACATGTACATAAAATTCTTCCTCCCCTGCAGTTTGAAGTTAATCTTAGAACCAAAAGTGTTAGTTTATGTGCTTACGGACCAAGCAGTCTGATTCTTATGTTTCTCACCAGCTCCTTCAAACTATGTCAACTATTGTTGTTTCTCTTGTTATGGGAAACTGTTCGAGCCTCATGACTTTTATTAAGATTGATGACTGCAATGCAAACTTTGGGTGCACACAATCACCAACTATCTAGTGTCATTACTATTATTCAAGAAAAAAATAATAATTTATAAGACGCTTACGTGCTTGGATAAGTGAAAAGCATCGACACTCCTATTAATTTATGCAAGTGAATGTGAAGGTGGAGTGACCTCTATGGAGCCATTTCTAAAGAGGTTCTTCCCAGAGGTGTACAATAAGATGAAATAAGACACCAAAACTAGCAACTACTGCAAATTTGACAGCCAACTGTTGACCTCCTTCACCTCCTTCCTCTATGCTGCTGGCCTAATTGCTTCCTTCTTCGCTTCACCAGTCACTACGGCCTTTCTCATTGGTGGAGCTGCTTTTCTCACTGGTGCCGCCCTTGGTTGTGCAGCTTATAATGTATATATGCTCATATTTGGCCGTGTTTTGCTTGGAGTTGGGGTTGGTTTTGCAAATCAGGTATCTTTTTTTGTTTTATAAGGCTAATTTGCACTTATTATTGTTCCTACTAGCTATTTAAGCTGCCTGGTATAGCCATCTTTTTTTTTTTTATCAGACTGGTGTAGCCATCTATATAGAATAAAAAAATAGAAACAATAGAAAAATTAGCATGGTTCATACCCAAGGATAACACACACTAATAGAGAAATGGCGACAGTAACATCATTTTGCAGAACCATACCTCCATTATTATAACTCACTATTATAGCACGGATCTAGAGGCACTCACAACAACATTAAGAGATGAAGAAGAAGAAAGAAGTTATGACAAACTGAAAGCAGGTAAGAAGGACAAATGCTTTTGATTCCGGCCAAAAATTTTTTCGAAAACTCTGAAAATGCTAATAATGAGAAAGCCTTCTCTTTTCTAGCAATTTACTGAAACCCAAAATGAAACCAAGCATAAAAATAGGACACAGAGGGTATGCTACAAACTGAAACAATTAATGCCCCTCTGCACAATCTAAGACAAATACAAACAATAACCTATTTCAAACAGTTTTCTGATTGTCTTATAATGAATGAAGGGGCTGCAGGTACATGTCTGTTTTCTTATGGAAAGTTTTTATCATGCCAGAAATAACACTTCTCATCTCTAAGAAGGGGGGTGGATTGTGTGGAAATTGAGATAGTTAAATTAGTACCTGGGAAGCTAATGAAACTATTTTGGTAGAATTTATTTTTCATGAGTTGAAAGAATTAGATTTTGTTGTACAAACATACCTTTGATAATTCAGATTCATAGACAAACCAAATAAGTAAAAAAAAACAAGAAGAATAACATCAAACTTTGGAGGCACCATAATGTCCATCATGGGTAGGGAAATCTTTCCCATTTATTCACTTACATGGTCTTCTTCAATTGATATCTTTACTTCTTTCTTCCTGTTTGCAGTCTGTTCCACTCTATCTATCAGAAATGGCACCACCTAGATATAGAGGAGCTTTTAACATTGGCTTTCACTTTTGTGTTGGTATTGGGGTGCTATCAGCAAACCTTATTAACTACGGCGCAGAAAAGATCAGATGTGGTTGGGGATGGCAAATTTCTTTAGCCATGGCTGCGGCCCCAGCCTCAATTCCAACTCTGGGGGCACTTTTTCTCCCAGAAACACCCAACAGCTTAATTCAACAAAGCAATGCTCATGGCAAGGCCAAACAAATGCTGCAACTGATGATGTCCAAGCAGAACTCGACGATCTCATCAAAGCAAGCGGCATTTCAAAAACCATCAAATACCCTTTTAAGAACATCATACGAGCAAAATATAGGCCTCAGCTTGTCATGTCAATCACAATACCATTCTTTCAGCAGGTTACTGGAATCAATGTGATCTCCTTCTATGCTCCAGTTCTCTTTCGAACAATTGGTTTTGGTGAAAGTGCATCCCTCTTGTCATTGCTGATAGTTGACAAAGTTGGACGAAGTTTTTTATTTATAGTGGGGGGAAGTCAAATGTTTGTCTCACAGATGTTGATTGGAGGATTAATGGCAGCAAAGCTAGGGGATCATGGCGGGTTGAGCAAAGGTGATGACTTATTGGTTTTGATCTTGATATGCATTTATGTTGCTGGTTTTGGTTTGTCACGGGGTCCCTTGGGATGGTTAGTTCCAACTGAAAATTTTCCACTGGAAATTCGATCAGCTGCACAAAGTATTACTGTGGCAGTGGGCTTTTTCTTCATTTTTCTTGTTGCTCAAACTTTTCTAGCTATGCTCTGCCACTTCAAGTTTGGGATTTTCTTCTTTTTTGGAGGGTGGCTCGCGGTGATGACTGGATTTGTGTGCATGTTATTGCCGGAGACTAAAAATGTGCCAATTGAACAGATGTATAGAATCTGGAGAGAGCACTGGTTTTGGAAGGCAATCGTGGCTGACGGACATGAGGTGAGCAAGATGGAGAGCGCGTGAAAGTCCGACAGAAAAAAAAGTTTATTTTATGTCCCTGTCGTTGGACAAATAAGGGCAGCTTGTGCGCTAGGCTTCCGCCACTAGAAGTCTGATGCAGTCTTATCTTGTCTGAGATTGTTTTCGTCTATTTTTGTATCCTTGTCCAAATTTGAATTTAATTTGATAAAACCCAAACATTTATATAATAAAATACATAAGAAGTTAAGTTTTATCCCTTACATATTTTTTTCTCCCAAAATCATCACATTACTCATTTTTATCACATGTACAATTATTTAATATTTAATTAATTTATTATTTAACATAATTTTCATTTCAGACTTTATTCATATACAATATTATATACATGTTGAAAAAAATTTTATCAATTTTGAGAAAATTTTATCAATATTTATAAAGAAATAATGGATAAAAATAAATTTTGAATAATATAATCAAATAAATAAAGAAAAAAAATTATTTAATATAATAAAATCAATTTTTTAAGAGCTCAAATTTGATATTCTATCGTACTTTTAGACACGAATTATAACTAATAAACTTATATTTCAACTCGTATTATGAAATTAGAGATTCAAAGCCTTATTGAATCATATTTTCAATTTCTTTACTTGCCATGACCGCATGTATTTCCATAAATGTCTGGAAACAAATTCATTTCATGAAAGAAATCCCAGAGAATCCAATTTATATTCTATATTTTCATTCAAGGAGACAGATAGAGACTCTATCAATTTACTAGAGATGTACAGATATGGTCAAAATCATGCATCCAGTGAAGAAACAAAACCACATCCAGCCAATTAAAAGGAAAAAAAATGTTACAATCTAGAAGATTTTTATTTCTTTTGCACAACGGCTTTCAGGTCAGAACAATATACGAAATTGCATCAGCACTAGGGTGGTACATTTCACACATTGGGTACAGACCAAATTCAGCATGCACTCATTGGAATGTTAGTGATATTCAACTGTCCCAACTCCTACAACAGAGGAAACAAGACTAGTTGGGGATTATGAACTTACTGGTCAATACCATCTGGTATCAGAACAACGGATCCTGATGTCTTCCGACCCTCAAGATAAGCATGCGCTTGTGCCGCCTGAGATAAGGGGTAGGTGCGATTTACACGGACCCTTAAGACCCCCGATGTGATGCCAGCAAATAGCTCTCCAGAATTTTCAAGCAGCTCTTCCCGTGTTAGATTGTACTGCATGAGGGTGGGCCTTGTCAAGAACAGCGATTTCGCTGCAAGTGCCGACAATGGTAGTGGGTCTGGTGTACCGGAGGACTGCCCAAAACTTACCATGTATCCGCGGATTTTTAAGCAGGCCAAAGAACCCTGAAACATGGCAGCATCCCAATTAGAAACTACTCAGAAAATATAAAATGCAACTTGGGGCTGCATGAACCAAACCAGACTTGTGGACGAAGTAAGATTGCAGGTGTAAAGCCTACAGTGACTATGCTAGTTTGAGCATACTGGGTTTGTATGGTCCTTAAAATTGATGTCTAACTGGGATAATCCAAGACCCGTTTTGTAAACTCGGCTCAAATTAACTTCCAAAACCTCAAATATATATCAAGTGATTGAAAACTTACATATTGACAATATCATCACAACATACTCATGCCAACATTTAGTCACTACCTGTCTTTTCTGCATACTGGAGTTTCAATGGGTATATGATAATATGAATAGAGTAGCATCACCTGAAAGGTGTCTTTTCCAACTGAATCATAGACAACATCAACTCCTTTGCCTGAAGTTATCTCATTGACACGGGTAACAAAATCCTCTTCCTTGTACATTATGACATGATGACATCCATCATCTTTGGCTTGAGCTGCCTTTTCTTTGGTTGAGACGGTTCCAATGACAATGGCACCAAGGGCATTTGCCCACTGGCACAACAGAGACCCAACTCCACCTGCTGCTGCATGAACAAGAACTGTGTGTTCAGGTTCAACCTGTCATACTATGCAACTCAGTCTTATCTTTGAAGAAAATAAAAATTAAATCTCGGATCAATTCATGTTCAAACGCAACAGTACAAATGGATGAGGTTTCTGCCACTAGGATGATCATAATTTTATCTTGTTCTATTGTACTACCATAGTTATATGATAATTCCTATAACAGATAGGGATAGAGACAAACATAACCACATTATTCTCAGAACAGTCTTTAATGGCTGACTGAACTCCAGTAAAAGAGGTTTATGTGAACCAAAATCTCTCTTTTTTCACAAGGAGGGTTGCATGTAAATATTAAGATATGTACAGTTCTGATGGATAATCAAACAATTTGATGCTTTGTCAGGGGTTTCTAGCTTAAGGAAAGTCTTTTCTGGAATTCACATTTCCTCCAATTGAAAAAGGGGGATTACATGTGGACCAAATAGGGCACCATTAGAAGTCCTTACTTATAGCGGCTCATTATGCCTGTAGTTTTTTGATACTATGCTTAATGACCTGAACAGTTGGAACAATGCACCTTCTACCTTTCCCCTTCCTCTCCCCCTCCCCCAACCCAGGAAAAAAAAACAAAAAAACAAAATCCTTGAAACCCCAACCTACAGCCTGAGATTTCGTGCTCAAATGACCAAGGCAGGACAGCCAGTCGAACAGTTAAAATAAGAAATTGATCGATGAAGGCTAATAATAATAATGATGGCAATTATACAAATAGCACATGCGTAACGGCAGAAGTAATGTCTTCGCTCATCATGTACAAGCAATAAGGTCAAGCTTTAGATGCTGATACTGCAAAAATGCTGCAAATAAAATGTTTCTAAACTCTTGATGTGATGTTGCTCAATTCGTGGATGAATACCTTAGTATTAACTGACATAAATCAAAATGGCACAATCTTCTTGACAAAAGTACTACTAGTTCAATTATTATCTAAATTCCATGCGTATTTCATGACTTTCTAACACTGAAATTTCTGAATAGTACTATGTAATAAAACCAAAAAAAATAGCGCTATTTAAATCCATTTTAAAATGTATTCAAGTTCAAATGGTTTTTATACTCAAAACCACACACTCCACCATCATTTTTGACTTTCAAGGGCTGAAAACTTTAACAGCCAAAAATTCTAGTTGAATCCAGAAGGTGTTCAGTAAACATAAAACATACCTTGAAACACCGACGAACTAGGAATTGTGCTGTCATTCCTTTGAGAATGACAGCTGCAGCTACAACAGGATCCAGAGTGGAAGGAACAGGCACCACTTTTTCTGCTGGAAGGATCTGCTCTTCAGCATATGAACCCATTGGGTTACCAGCATAACCGACGAGATCTCCAACTTTCCTGCCCGTTAGTCCAGGACCCAAGGAAGTCACCACACCAACTGCTTCCATACCTGAACTTAACATGTTTTGCAAGCTTAGTTCTCAACAAAACCCCAATTCTGGATTTACATGACATTTTCATTTATAGTCCCTAATAAGAGACTCATTTAAGTCTGACAAAAACATACTTCCCCTGAAGCACAATAGTGATCTTCCCAAAATGAAAATTTGCCACAAAACAAAGCAAAAAGATAATAATTGTTAATCGCATTTCAGCAGGAACTGACTAAAGGACATGAGGCTATATAGTTAATGGAGAGGCAATGTATCATATAGGAAAAATAGAACAGGACGAGCTTTCCTACCCAACCTGTCTATCTTTTCTTGTTTTTCATCAATGGAAAAGCACTTTGACAAGAGACTGAATATAAACAAATTGGATCAAGCAAGCAGGAACACTTGCTTTGTCTTCCTAATCAAGAAAATCCATGCCGAAAAAGTGCACTCTCCTTTTTCTCTTTTCCTATCTTAAAAAAAAAAATGTTGCATTACCAATCACAAAATATTTTTGGATGAAGTTGAACCCATCTTTCACCGGAAGACAAATTTTTGGAGGAGTAATAAAAGGAAGGGAACAGAAATGAACCTGGTGTAAAAGGTATTGTGGCAGCCTTGTAAACTCCTTCGCGATAGTATACATCGATGAAGTTAAGCCCAATGGCCTTATTCTTCACCCTGATCTCTCCTGCCTTTGGCTCTCCTATTTCCACTTCCTCCCATTTCAGAACCTGAATCAATTTATAGTAAGTAAAAATGTTGCCCAACCCCCAACCCCCTAGGAAGGGTGGGTGGGGGTGGGAAAACTCCCTGCCACAACATCTAAACAAATTGCGTAGTACTGACTAAACTATGTTCAAATCACATGCAAATACTACAAAACTGATTTTGTTATGTTACCCAAAAAAATCAATTTAAATGACCAGAAATGAAATGGAATTTTCTCAAACAATGGTCTAAAATCATGTAAAGGTTCCATTCAACCAGGATAATCCCATGATTAAATCCTGTATAGCATCTCAAACAAGCAAGATTATGCTCAACAAGGGTCTAGAATCATGTAAAGGTACCATTCAACCAGAATAATCCCATGATAAAATCGTGTATAGTATCTCAAACAAACAGGATAATGCTCTGGTGATGATAAACAAGATTGCAATCGTTTATCCCTATGTAGAAGTAGCAGACACAAAACAACTTTTTGGGCTTTAAAAATTAACAATCAGAAGACGTTATAGCTGAAACTGGGCAAATAATTACCTACAATTGGGAAAAGAATAGAAAACCCGAAATGGATAATCATTATCTTTGATAAAGGGGTGCCCCTGACTCCATTCCAAAAATATCCATTCTTACTCACTTGACCACAGAACATTACGATATAGAGAGAGAAAGAGGGACCTCAGGTCCACCGAGTTCATGAACCCTAATAGCTTTGACCATTGTAGCTGCTGCTGAGGTAGAGAGTGCTCTTGCTGCTAGTTTGGTTGTCTCCTTTGATAGTGTTGGGACAATTATGCTCTTCTTGTATGTGTAACTATCGTTGTTGCTGATCAGTGTTTGTAATGGAAGAAATGGTGAGCTTGGGTGGTAAAGAGGCCCGAGACAAACGAACTTTGTAGAAGACGGTACTCGGTAGTGACGATGGTGATGATGCAATGTTGATCTTGATAGGAGGACCATTTAACAATTGAATCCCTTTTGCTAACTGAATCGGGATGGAAATCGAGCAACGTGAGGAATCGCATAGAATAGATTAAAGAAAAATTACACCTTAGTCTCTTGTTATTTAATTACTTAAACTTTTAATATTTAAAATATTATATATAAATTTCTTAAATTTTATATGCAATAACACTTGCACCCTATGATCAATGTGCGAATATCTATATAATAAAATAATTTATAATTTAAATTTTAAAAGATAAACAAAATATTTTTTTACTATTTGTGGTTAAAATTGTTCTTTAAAATTAATTTAACAGCTAATATAAACACTCTAAATTTAATACTAAAAATAGGCCCTTAAGATTATATTTAGGGTGATTTTTTAAAAGTATTTTTAGAAATTATTTTTATAAATACTTTAAAAAAATTAGTGTTTGAAATCGTCCCACCACTATTTACCACCACCACCACCACCATTGCGTCACCGTCGCCACCACCGTCACTATTACCACACATCACCACCACCACCACCACCACCACCACCTCTGTCGTTACCGTCACCACCGTCGTTGCCTTCCCCACCACTACTATCACCACCATCGTTGTCGTTGTCACCACCGTCGCCTCCCCCACCGTCACCACCGTGGCCACCACTGTCACCCCCTACCACCACCACCACCGTGATGCCGCCACCCACCCCCACTATCGTCATCGCCTCGTCGTCGCCGCCGTAATCGTCGTTGTCGCCCTTATCGCCACCACGATCATGGTCACTCATCACAACCATCGCCGTCTTCTACCACCACAACTGCCGCCCACCACCTCTCACCCCCACTACAAATCAATGTTTAAATTCTTTTATCTCTTCTCTATGTTGTGATTTGATTTTGGATATGAATATAAATATGTTTATTTTTTACCATTTTTTTTTACTTTGTGCCTTTAAGCACAAACAATAACTAATTTATTAATAAATTATACTCAGACCTCAAAGTTTGTAATTGTGTAACACTTTAAACTCTCAAATTTAAAATATTATATTTAGATCTCTTATTAATTACAAAATTAGCAAAATCTATTAAACTCAGTTCATACTTTTGAGTCATTTATTGATTTAGGCATCAAAGAGTCAACCCCCCCCCCTCCCCCCAAAGCTTCTCGTCGGTCTTTAACTTCTTTTCAGATGATTGAAGCTCAACAAACTAACATGAATGTCGTCCAAAATTTGACATGAATAATACTAATTATGATTTTTTTTTAAAAAAAATTAAATTTTTATTGTAGATTTTATTTCAATAAATGACATAATAGAACAAGAATTTTTGTTATAAAATTTAAAACATTTATGTTACTGTTTCAACGTTTCTGTATGGTGTCATTATTTGGTGTAACTGTTTAAATCATACATAAACATAGTTACTATTTAGTATAACTGTAACAGTTTGATGTAACTATTTAAATTATATGCATGAACAGAGTCATTGTTTCGTGCAACTGTTTAGTATAACCGTTTGAATTAAACACATAAAAAGAACATGAAACTTTTTCACAAAAATTTTCAAGTCTCTCCAAAATATCACAAATTGGAAAAACAAGTTTTAACAATTTGTAATATTTTTAGAACAGTTTAAAATATTAAAACATATATCAGAAGCACAACAAGTAATTATATAAATTAAAAATTTGTTTTAATATTGTTGTTTGTGGTATTCCAAATATAGTACAATCACTTATTGAAATTTTTGATTTGTATTGTGTAAGTTAGAATAAAATAGTATCAATCAAGTGCGAAACAGTAATACATAAAACTGAAATAGTTACATAGAATTAACAAAACAATTACAGTAGTCTTAACGAAATAGTTACACATAATTGTTTGTTTAACTAATATAAATACTTTCACGTTTACAAAACAATAACTATTATTGAATTTTAAGTAGATCAAGGCTAACGTTTGATACTATGTCCTCAAAACAAATTTTGTCCCACACACGATGCTTATGGAATACAAAGCATCTGATTCCCAGGATATAATGATTTTTACACGAATAAAAGTAGTACTCAAATTTACTTGTCCAACGAATCACAAATTATGATGTGTACTCTCCAAATGGAAATTGTCTTGCTCCAATTTATCTTATGTTGCGAGGAATCGTAAAGAGTAAATTAAAGGGAGAATTATACCTAAGTCTTCTGAGGTTTGTTATTTATTCACTTAGGCCCTTAATATTTAAAGTATTATATATAGACCCCTTAAAATTTATATGTGATAACACTTGGACCTTGTTGAGTTTTGGGAGCTTGTAGACATTTAAGAGTTGGGATGAATTATTGGAATGAGCGAAGAAAATTGGTCGTAAGAATGGAATGGTAGTTGTTGTAGCAAGGTCAGACGTCTCTAATCCAAGAAGGATCCCTCGTGTAATTTTAGGGTGTGAGAGGGGTGGACAATATGATACTAGAAAACAAATACGCCAAGAAGAAGAGGTTGAAACCAAAAAACAAAATAGTGCAACAAAGAAATGTGGATGCCCATTTAAATTGAAGGCTGAACAATTTAGCAATATTGATGGGCGGTTGGGATTAGAAGTGTTGAATGGGATTCATGACCACAAATTGATAGAAAATTTGGAGGGTCACCCATATGCCGGTAGTTTGGAGAATGATGAGTTTGAGATTTTGAAAAGAATGTCATAAAGTGGTGTCCGTCCGCGCGACATTTATGCCATCTAAAGAAGACGGATGCAGGTAATGCTTTCGACATCAAAGACGATTTATAATGCCTGACTGAAATTAAGAATAGCTAAAACAGTCAGGTGTACATACATGCAACAGCTGTTGGAAAAAAATTTATGAGTATGATTATGTGGAGTATCATCGTTGTAAATCAGTGATTGAGACAGTGAAAGATCTCTTTTGAGCACAACTGATCTCAATCCAACTAACTAAGGCTTTCCCCGATGTTTTTTTTGATGAATTGCTCCTACAAATCGAACAAGTACCGACTGTCATTATTAGAGATCGTGGATGTTACTTCTACTAAGAACACTTTTGTGGCTGCATTTGCTTATATGGAATCGGAGAGAGAGGAAAATTAAATTATTGTTGGGCACTTGAGTGTTTTAGTTCCATTTTTGACAACGTGTGGCCGCCAAGAATAATTGTGACTTCTCCCTGATTAATGCACTTATAAATGTGTTCCCCAATGCGGCTAACTTATTATGTTATGTTCATATGGTGTACTGAAAAATTGTACGAAAGAAGGAGAAATGGACTAAATTCAATGTTTCAGAGAACGACGTTGTGCGAGCATCGACAATAGAGGAATACGAGAAAAATGTGCAAAAGTTGGAGACTACATTTGCAGAGTATCCAAATGCATTAAATTATCTTCAAGAAACATGGCTCGTGAATCATAAGCACCAATTTGTGTAGGCATGGATTGACCAATGTTTCCACTTCAGGGCCGGGGCAAATTATAGGCCATTAAAGCCTGGGCAACCAAATTGGAAGAAAAATTTGGGGTCCCAAAATAAAATTTTATACAATGGTATATAATATAAATGGTAGGATATAATTTAAATACTCAATATATTTTTACAATTGAATTAACAGAGAGTGTTAATTTTAAATAAAATTCATTATTTATCTAATGTATTTAGACCTCAAATCAAGTACAAGTAGTATTATCGTAAAATTTTTAGAGCCTCTTTCAAAAAAAATTAGGGCCCTAGAGTTCAATCTAATTTTCTTATTTCACTCGATGTCTATATTATATGTATTATCACTTTACAGTTTTATTATTAAAATTAATTGTATATCGTATAATAGGTATGAATAATGATTTTATATTTCTATAACTTAAATTTAAGGCTATTTTTTAATTAATTTGTTTATAATGAATAGAATAAATATAAAATAAAATGAGTAGAAGTAATACACTATTTGAAACCAGTGTTATAAAATCTAGCTCGGATCGGCGAATCAACCTGGTGAATCGGTCCCCTAATCGGGCTGATTCTATTAAAAGACCGTTTATGTAAAGAACTCAGGATAAACCCGTTGAATCGGTTAAAAACTGGTAAACCCGTGAGAATCGAACAAGTTTACCAAATCGGCCAGTTTATTTTCATTTGGATAAATATGAATTTTTTTTTTCATCATTTAAGCATTTTATGTTTTTCCTCATATGTTTTGCCCTAAATCGTCCCAGAACAATGTGCACAGCCTCCACTCCAGCACCAGCAGGCAGCAGCGACCAACGATCAGCCTCCACGACCAACGACTAATTAGCAACACTCCAGCACCAGCAAGCAGTCGACTTCAGTCCAGTGAGTTTCCCTTGCTCTCTCTCTCTCTCTCCCCCTTTTTCTATCTTTTTTGCGATTCTAGTCCAGTCGTCTCTAGTCGACTGACCAGAGACTTGTGAATGCATTTATGTACATAAAATAAGTGAAGAAATGGAGTGATACCCAGTTCCAAAATTGAAATTTCAATTAACAAATAGGTGAAGAAATGAAGAGATATCTGGGGACTGAATGTTCACAGTTTTGGATTGAAAACACCCCATGTTTGTAAGCTACATTTACGAAGTACATACACCCAGATTATCTTTCTTTCCTAGTTGAATTAAACCCTAACTGAGTGCTGAGCATCAAACTGAGATGTAGATTTTAGGGTCAATGAGCAGTAGTGAGCTGACTGAGGAGAGTTTAAAGTCCAGATTTATTTTCAATGTCATATATCAGAATGTCTTGTATTGTCTTCGATCCAGGTTTAAACTCCGGTCCATATTTATTGTCTTGTATCTTAGACTGTTAGTTTATAATTTAACTAGTTATTGCCTGTATCTGAAGGCACAGAGTCATAAAAAATAGTAAACAATAAACATATTTGTATTCATATCTAAAATTAAATCACAAACATAGAGAAAAGATAAAATGAATTTAAGTATCAATTGCAGTGAGGGTGAGAGATGGTGAGTGAGAATGGTGGTGGTGGTGGGGGATAATGAT